AAGTCCGGCCAGAGCTGTTAACTCTTGGCCAGCACTGTTTCACTTGAAATGGCCTTAGGTTTGCCCTCTAGTGGTAGAAATGATTAGGGAGCATATTAGCTCAAAACTGTAAAAAGACTTAATTTTTTTTTTTTTTTTGGAAAAAATGTATTTTTTGTTTTGTTTTGTTTTTGCTTTTTGGGTCACACCCAGCTATGCACAGGGGTTACTCTTGGCTCTGCACTCAGAAATCACTCCTGGCGGTGCTCAGGGGACCATATGGGTTGCTGGGAATCGAACCTCGGTCGGCTGCGTGCAAGGCAAACGCCCTACCTGCTGTGCTCTCTCTCTAGCGCCAGTAAAAATGCATTTAAAAATGCTTGACAGTATAAGCCGTGGGTATTTCAAATAAAATTTGAGACGTCAGTGTTGAGAAGATCTCGGTCCTTTCAGTTGTGAACACCTGGGTTTGAACCTTTTTATGCTTCCTGTGACTGGGCAAATCATTAACCCCTCAGTTTGGCTTTTCTTGTCTTGTTTGTTCTGTTGGTGTTGCTGTTAGGCTTCAGTGAGATAAAGTGAGATATAATGAGGTAAAATGAGATAAAATTCCTAGCCTTGGTTTTTAGTGGATATAAATCCTCCCCTTCTCCCCTCCCCCTTTCTCCCCTCCTCTCCTCCTCCTACTCATCCCCCCCACCTGGCTGTGCTTAGGGCTGGCTTACTCCTGGCTGGCTGTTCAGGGGCCCTTCCTGGTGGTACTCCAGGAACCATATGTGGTACTGGGGATTGGATGTGCAGGGTCAGCGCTTTATCCACTGTACAATTTTTCCAGCCCCCTACTTCTGTTTGGTTTTGGGACCACAGTTAGGGGTGCTCAGAACTGCTTCTTGGCTGTAAGCTCTGGAGCACTCCAGGTGGTGCTCAAGGGGACCAACCATGTGTGGTGTCAGGGATCATATTGGCCACATGGAAGGCAAGCCAACTACCCGCCGTCCTGGGAAGCGGTTTCCCAGAACATCTCTCTGTAGTGCGAGGAGGTCTGCCTTTTGGGCTGCTGTACCTGGGACCGAATGACTTTAGAGCTCAGGAGTGATTGGAAAGAAAACACAAGAGAGCCCGGGAGTCATAGTTGATTGTAGGCCTGACGCAGGATAGCAACACCTCAGGCTGCCACATCAGACATCCCAGCCAGAAGAAAAGCTGTTGAAGATGATCAGGTCAGTGTGCAAAGGACTCACACCTAGCCTGGAGTCTCCCGCTGATGAAAAAGGAGCCATATGAAACATTCTTAAGAAGATGCAGTGAACTGTGTCATTTTGAAAATTATTAAGTAAGAAATGAAAGCGGGCTTTTTCTTTTCCTTTCTGTGTGAACTCTAAGAAGTCGCTCTTGTAGTAAAGCTCTAGCTAATAGAGAAGGAACGAGAGCATGAAGCTACTTTGTAGCAGCCTTAGGGAATGTGGGGATGCAGTCATTGCCGATGAGGAGCGCTGGACTCAAAACTGCCCCGATGCAGTCGAGCTGCCAGGTGAGGTCTCCTATGGGCGCCACTCTCAGTCTCCAAATTCATATGCAGTGCAGAGAAGAGAGAATATGCCAGACTGTCATGGGAATAGAACCAGCAAATCCCAGACTTTAAAAATGCGAACATTCTGAAATACCTGCAGATGAAGTAACTTAATTTTAAAGATTTCCTTTAAAAAAATCTTGAGAAGAAAATTCCCTTCGAAAGATCTTGAAAGCAGGGGCTGGAGAGATAGTGCAGTGGGTAGGGCTGTGTGCCTTGAATGCAGCTGACCTGGGTTCGATGCCTGGCAACACATATGGTCTCTTGGTCCCACTTCTGGTGCCTGAACTCCTAGCTAGGAGTTTGCCCTGGGTGCCACTGGATGTGGCCCCAAAACAAGCCCCCCTCTATTCCCTCCCCCCCCCAAAAAAGTCTTGGAAGCAGCTCTTGGCGAGTTATAGCACAGTGGGTAAGGTGCTTGCCTTGCGCATGGCTGACCTGGGCGCAATCCTTGGCACTGCATGTGGTCCCCCAAGTCCCACCAGGAGTGACTCAGCACAGAGCCAGGAATAAGCCCTGAGCATCACTGCGTATTGCTCCAAAGCCTTCTCAAAAAAAATATTGAAAGCCCAAGACTTTCTTCATAATAATATCAAAAGGAGGATTTTGTGGGGTGGTGATGATAAAGGAGCAGGATTGGATAAAGATTGCTGGGTTGGGGCTGCAGGATTGTATTTGGGAGTTTGGTATATTCATGGCATTGCTATATATGTTAAACGTTACCCATAGTCGAAGGGGGGCGTTCTGGCCCGTTCCTCATGCCCTACTGAGGTCACCAGTTGCCCCCCACAAGAGGCTCTCTGGCACGGCCACGACTCCAGAGCACAGAAACCAATCTCTTAATTGTCTGACTTTCAGTAGAAATACTTTCAGGGTTAATAAGTAAAATAGCAGAAATCCAAAACTGTGCGGCCGCTATTGCGGCCGTGCGACATCATTTAATTCTTGAACCCAGCTGTAGAAAGCAAATCATTGCACAACAGTTTTTCAGCATGCCTGATTTGGGGGGTGGGGGGGTAAACTCTAAATAATAATCGTGCATCTTTTATCGAAACAATGAATCTAGTCAAAGTAGATAGGGTGTTAACTAGAATTCATCTGCCTCACAGGCACTGGGAGGGATGGGAGGTGGGGTTTTATTGGGGTTCTTCGAGGTAAAAAATAAATATTGGTAAGGGGAAATGTGTTTGATATTTGCATGACTGAGACCTAAACCTGAAAGCTTTGTAACTTCTCCCACAGTGATTCAATAAATAAATAAATTATTTAAAAAAAAAAGTTACCCATAGTCAAGCATTCAATGCAAGAGAAGAAACCTTGAAGAAAAATTCCCAACAGTTTCACTTCTTACATACTGTCTTGTATTTCTTTGCGCAAACATTTTTATATTTACTATGTAATCATTGTTCTTTTGTTTTTGAATAATATGCAGGTGTTTACTAATACCTGGCTTTCAGATTGATTTTAATTTGTATTAAGTAGCTCATTTCCCTCTTTTTGTTTCTGTGAACAAAATGTAGCAGTTTGGGGGCATATTTACATGTGTGTTTGCGTGTATGTGTGTGTATTGCTGAGGATCTAACTCGAACTTGTGTGAGGTGTATCCTCTGCCAAAAAGCCAGCCACATCTCTAGCCTCCTGGACACATTGTACCGCTTCCCTAAGGCTGAATTACTAAATTAACCTTTAGTAGCTGCGGTTTTGCCTGAAACTTGTCTACCCTAATGCTAGTGCTCCTGCTTGATAGCGCTGCAGCAGCTTTTTCTCTTTTTTTATTTTTGGTGCTAGGATTCGAACCCAGGTCTCATGTCTGCAACAGAAGTGATTTACTATGGAACTACACACATCTCCTGGCAATTCTTTTGCACTTTTTTTTCCTTTTTGGATCACACACAGCCATGCACAGGAGTTATTTCTGGCTCTGCATCCAGGAATTACACTTTTTTTTCCACTATGCCCCCCCCACCTCTTTATTTTGTAATTAATTTGGGGGCTGGGTTCACCCAAATTAGTTGGCATTGTGTGGTGTCAGGAACTGATGTGCAGCCTCACATATGCAGGGCCTGGTCTCCATTTTGACCTGTCGCTGTGCTCCCTCCACCTCTGTTATTCTGGTGCTGAAAACCTGGAACAAACCCCTGCCACTTTAAAATAGTGATTGGGTTATAAAGTCAGAATTCCCAGTTCCATCCCTCTGAGCCAACTGCTGTTACCAACTTGGAGTGTCTATTTTTTTTTTTCAGTAGTGAATATGACTTTATCTTTATTGTCAGGGTCTTCCCCCTATCTTTCCCCATCACAAATTCTCTGTTTAATTGCTTTCATTAAAATGTATTAGGAGGGGGCTGGAGAGGTAGCATAGCAGGTGTGGTGTTTGCCCTGCATGCGGCTGACCCTGGTTCGATTCCCAGCATCCCATACGGTCCCCTGAGCACCACCAGGAGTAACTCCTGAGTGAAAAGCCAGGAGGAACCCCTGTGCATCGCCGGGTGGGACCCAAAAAGAAAAAAAAAGTATCAGGACATCTTATAGACCTATATATAAAAGTATAAATATGTATGTAAGTATATATACCTTGAAAGTATGAATTGTAGCGAACACTCATCCAGAAGATGTAAAAATCAAACATAGGTGTGGTTTTAAGCACTTTCACTCTTCCGTTTGTAGACGAAATGTTATCCTAGATTTTGTATTTATCAGTCTATTTTTGTTTTTATGGCCTATGTGTGTGCTTTAGTATATTTTTATATGTGATCTCAAATAGATACGAACTTGTTTGCGGTTGTGTGTATTATGTTAAAATATCTTTTTCATGACCTGAGTGTGTTTTTTTTCTTTTCTGTATTGTACTTTGTTCACATTTTACTAAATGCTGCCAAATCATATTTTGAGGTAGTAGTTCCAGTTTACTTACAATTACAGAAACACTACTGAGCATTTACTTTAAAATTTTTAAATGAACTTAATGGGTGTAATATGTATCTCACTTCTATTGTAGTTATTTTACTTTTATAAGTTAGGGAAAGTTTGTGCTGCTTCAGAACTCCCCCCGTGCCCCGGTTCAGCTTTCTCCAGGACATGCCGTAGTAGCTGCCAGGCAGGGCATTGTCACATGCTAAAATCTCTCATACCTTGAGATAAAATATTTCTTTTTGTTATATTAAAGAGCTTAAATTGGGGGGAAAACATTAAAAATATCTTTTTTGGGGGGGCCATACCAGGTGGTGCTCCGGGTTGACTCCTGGATCTGCACTTCGGGGTCAGTCCTGATGGGCCTTGTGGGGGGTCCTTGGGGTGCCGGCTATTCCACCTGGGTTGGCCATGTGCAAGGCAAGCGCACTATCGACTGTGCTCTTTCTCTGCTCCTCCCACCCTCCAGTTCTTGGTGCCTGGAAATTCGGATCCTTTGCTCATGACATCTGCCTGACACTGTCCGTGCTGTGTCTCCTAGGCTCCGAGCTCTGTCGAGTGGCGGTAGCATCACCTCCCCTCCGCTGTCTCCCGCGCTGCCGAAGTATAAGTTAGCAGATTATCGCTACGGCAGAGAAGAAATGTTAGCACTTTTCCTCAAAGACAACAAGGTGAGTGTCGGAAGGAACTTTGTGAACGTGATGGTGGGTGTGCAGTGAGGAATGTGATGTGCTAATGTGTGCAACGTGATGTATTCTGGTGGGCTCTCGTGCCGTTTCCCTGCGCCTTCTCTTCCTCCGTTGCTTTTGACACCTGCAGTAGTGTAGCCTGTTTAGAGAAAAAGGGAGTTTTCACGTAGCACGCACAGCAGGTTAGGCATTTGCCTCGCATGCAGCTGAGCACCGTCAGCAGTGATTCCTGATTGCAGAGCCAGGAATAGACCCTGAGCATTGCCCAGTGTGACTCTCCCTCAAAAAAAAAATTTTTTTTTAAACAAGGAAAAAACTTGTTTCTTATTGCACATTTTATTCTTTAGAAAATGATTTTTAATTTTTTTTAATCCCATCAACGGCCAAGACCCAGAGACTATAAAACCCAGCTCCCGGAACCGCGCAGCCGCATTCGCGGCCATGTGACATCTTATTATCTCATTCCTACTTTGGACAAACTGGCAGGCTGCCGAATGTAGCCTGCCCACACGGCAGAGTCTGGCAAATTCCCTGTGGCGTACCCGATATGCCAAATACCAGTAACAATGATGGGTCTCATTCTCCTAAAGAGCCTTGAATATAATCTCAGGGCTAGGATGAAGGAGACGTTACTGGGGCCTGCTCGAGGCAACCGACGAATAACAGGATGATTTGTGATTTGTGATTTATATAAGAGAGACACATCTGACTGTGAGCAGAGGCATGCAGTGCCAGTTCTAATTCAGGGCGTTGCCGCGCTGTGTATGTGCTCTACTACCTGAACTCGTCTCCCCAGCCTCTACCTTCTAGTGTTCTTACCAGGTAGAAGTTAGGAGTAAGTAGAGATGCTGATTCTATTTTCAGTTTAATTGTTACGGATGTAGTTTTTGGTTTTTGGGTCATACCCAGCGGTGCTCAGGGGCTGAGCATTGACTCATTGTTCGGGGGTTGCTTCCGGGGCTGCTCGGGTGGCCTTGTCGTGCTGGGGATGAAATCCAGGCCTTCGTATGCAAAGCATGTGCTCCAGCCCTTTTATTTTAAAAATATTTATTTGCTTACCGGCAAGCTACCGAGAGTATCTTGCCTACACAGCAAAGCCTGGCAAGCTACCCGTGACATATTCGATATGCCAAACACAGTAACAGTTGTCACAATGGAGACGTTACTGGGCCTGCTCGAGCAAATCGATGAACAACGGGAGAACAGTGACAGTGACAGTGACATCACTTATTTTTGGGCCTCGAAAGCAGTGCTCAGGGGGTCTGGGGGCTACTCCCAGAGATTTTTGCCTTGCATGTAGCTGACTGGGGTTCAATCCCTGGACTCCCATGTGGTTCCCTGAGCCTGCCAGGAGTAGCTCCTGAGCGCAGAGCAGAAGTAAACCCTCAGCATGGCTGGATGTGGCCCCCAAAAACAAAACAAAATGAAACAATCTTAGGATTTGCTATCCTGCTTTCTTGGGCCCAGCCATGCTAGGGGTCACAAGGGCTATCCATGATGCTGTTTTGGGGTCACTAGTGCTATCCGTGATGCTTCTGCTTTGGTGGTTGGGCATGTGGAGCTGTTGACTAAAGGAGATAGTGACTCTGGAGTTATTTCTCTGGCCCTTTCTAGTCTTCCTTTTTTTGAGTAAAATTTAACTGTGTGCAGTGCACAATCTTTTTTTTTTCCCCCCTGTGCTAAGATAGAGCCCAGGGCTTCACATGTGCCAGGCTTCCTGCTACCACTGAGCCATATCCCAGCCCCTGGGGAGCAATTCTTAAAAATGTAATACTACATTTGTTTCTCTTGTAAATGATCAAAGTTCAGCCAATATAATGTAAAATTACTATCCGACTAATGAGAATGCTAATTTCTCTCTTTTTCAGGGAAGGGGTGGGTTTGGATCTTACCCTGCAGTGCTCAGGGCTTATTCCTCTTTCTGTACTTGGGAGCTATATGGAATGCCGGGGATTGAACCCAGGCCGACTGCATGCAAGGCAAACACCCTGCCCACTGCACTGTTTGCTCTGGTCCATGACCTCAGATTTTAATGATTGTTGCTAAGGACATAAACAGTTGTTTATAAAACTCTCATTAGAGCTTTCTGTTTTGAGTTAAATACGGACATTTTACTCTTTTGTGCACGCTGCAGTACCAGAGTTAGAGCTACATGTCAGATCTAAAAGTGATCTAATGGGAATGGGCAAGTAACTAAGATTTTTAATAATTGACCTTAGGTACTGTGTAATTACTGATAGAGATAATCGCGACTTAATAAACTTTAACCCATGCTTATAATAAGCAGCAGACAGAGAGCGTTTTGTTTTCTTTTCTTACTGCCTTAATCTCATGGTCACGCATTTGCTTGTACAGATACCTTCAGACCTTCTGGATAAAGAATTTCTGCCTATTCTGCAGGAGGAGCCCCTGCCGCCACTGGCTCTTGTACCCTTTACAGAAGAAGAACAGGTTTGTGTCTAGCTTTGAGCCTAGGTTGGACTCTTGTTCCTTCCCACAGAGGCACGAACACTGGAAATTACTTCTGAGGCCCTAAGGGGAAACCTGCCTTCCCACAGGTCAACTTCCTTCTTACTGTTTGTTGGTACATGGACATACTCTTTTATTGACCAAGTTTTACAGTAGAATGGAAACTGATGAGTATTGCATAGAATAAGGAAAATAATTCTGGATTTTTAAAGACAATGGGTACCATCTTTTAGAACTTACTTGAATTGAGAAAGTGTATTCTGAGAAGTTCTTTTACCAAAAACTGTTGTTCTTCATAATTAATTGGTAACCGACATATTTTGCCACTAAAGGAAAATGCAGCTATTTAGCTGAAAATGTTGTTAAAATTCTTCCGTTGCCAGGTAAAATAAATATCTTGTTTGTTTGTTTCTTTTTTGGCCACACCTGGAGGTAATCAGGGGTTACCCCTGGCTCTGCACTCAGGAATCACTCCTGGATAGCTCAGGAACCATATGGGCTGCCGTGGATCAAACCCAGGTCGGCCATGTGCATGGCCAGCACCTACCCACGATACTATTTTAGGGGCTCTGGTGCCTGAAAATGTGAGAAAACAATACCTTTGTATTGGAAAGTAGTAGATTTTCTGTTTGAATATAGCTAAATGAAAGACTTTCCGAGTAAGGAACTTACTCCTGATTATAATGGAGAAATAAAAGTTCTTGGAATGCCAGTATAAATAAGGAATCAGAAAATCTTTTTAGAAACAGCTTGACTGACCCATACTTTGGGTGCCATAAAAGCTTGCTCCTTTAAAGTTTGCGATTCATTGTCTTGACGGAGTCGCACAGCTGTCACCACTGAGTAGCCCTCGAGCATTTCTTTCCATCAGGAGTTTTTGTGACAGCCTGGATGCTTCTTCTGTTGTCCTAATGTTTTTTGCTTAGGAGACCCGTCAGTAAGCGCCACCAAAGCCCCGCAGGGAAATCGAAAGGAAAGCTGCTTTCCACTCGCTGCTCTTTCTGGAAGCTGCGGCTGGCACGTATGCTGCGTCTGGATTGTTGGGTTTCACTGCCGGTTCAGGTGATTGGCCCAACCTTTGGTGGCACACACCCCACCCCGTTCAGTAACCTTCCTCGGGTCTCGCTGGTACCTGCAGAAACTCCCTGCAGTGACACCTAGCTGAGGAGGAATCTCTGCTCCTAATTCTGGAGAACAAGCTGTGACAAAAATAAACATTGTCATCGAAGTTGGATCGTGGCTGCTGGAATGCTGGAAGTGCAGATTGACAGTGATCCCGCGGGACAGGTGTGATCGATGAAAGGGGACCAGGACTTGAAGGCATGGAGCTCACCAGTGGGAATTCCAAGGATTCGCTAACATTTGAAGCTGTTGCTGCCCTGGGGAGCACAATTGTGGAAAACCCAAGACCCAGGATCCCTCGGCAGCTTTGAGCGCGCTGAGCAGTGAAACTGGCTTTGTGCTGAAATGCCAGTAGTGTCTGGCCCTGTGCTGAAGATTCTCTTTACAGCTGTCTAGTTTCTTGCTGACAACGTGCTGCAGAGGCCTCCACAGCGATTCAGCATGCCTGCTGCTTTGCATAGAATACACCTCAGCGGACAGCTGGCATTCTTAGCAGCCTGCTGAAGGTCCCGAGAAATTAATTTTCTGGCTCCGAGTGCCTCATACTCTGAATCCTTAACTGAGTCTTGACCCACTTGGGTACTATGTATTGAAGAGCCCCCACCCAGCACTGTTGGCCTTGACTGCGCGCTCAGCCGTTGCTTGGAGATGCGGCAGGATCGCCCGTGCCAGTTCTGTGGGGAGCCCCGTAAAAGGGACAGCCTCAGCACACGTGGCGATGCATTGGGAACAGCGGGCCGTGGTCTGCTGCATAGTTCAGATTGGTCTGATCTCATACGGAACCTGTAAGGAGATCAGGGCCAGGGCTGATGGCTGCTACTTCTGAAATACTCACCCTGGGGGCGGAGGGCTTGGACAGCAGGTAGGGTGTGTGCTTGCAGGAAGCCGACCTATGTTCCATCCCTGGCATCCCATATGGTTCCCTGAGCACCACCAGGAATGATTCTTGAGCACAGAGCCAGGAGTGTGCCCTGAGCCCCACTGGACATGACCCCCAAAATAAAAGAAAGAAATAAAAGCGTGTGGAAGCCACCAGAGAAGGAAGGAGAGGGCGAGGGAGAATACAGAAGAACATGGAAAATTCAAAATGATGACACTTCTATCTCTTGTTTTCAGAAATAAGATTTCTCAGGGCTGGTGACATAGCCTGGCGGTAGAGCATGTGTGAGACCCACAGGCTGGTCCGGGCAGTGCTCAGAGATCACCCCCAGTGTTGTTGGGGAGCAACACGGTGCCAGGGCTTGCACCCACCTGTCCCATAAGCAGAGCACGTGCTTAGCCCTCTGAATTGAACCTCAGCCCGAAAGTTGAGTTTTTCTGATGTTCCTGTGATTAGATATTTATGTGATTTTTAATTTTTGCCATTATAAATGATGTTGTGATGAGGTGGGTTTTGGTTCTATGCTTTTTATTTTGTTTATTGATTTTTTGGGGTGGTGGTGGTGGGGCATACCTGGAGGTGCTCAGGGATGCTGTGATGCCAATACTCATTCCCAGGGCTTCAGCATTTAAAAGCGTTTGCTCAGTCCTTTCAGTTATTTCTCTAGTCGCTTTACATTTTCCCAAACCTTATTGGGTATTTTCAGATTTTCTTTATAGTAATTTAAGCCAGGTTGTGTCTTTTTTTTTTTTTTTTTTTTTTTTTGCTTTTTGGGTCATACCCGGCGATGCTCAGGGGTTACTCTTGGCTCATGCACTCAGGAATTGCTCCTGGCGGTGCTCGGGGGACCATATGGGATGCTGGGAATCGAACCTATGTTGGCCATGTTGACTGCGTGCAAGGCAAAAGCCCTACCCGCTGTGCTATCGCTCCAGCCCCCCTGGGTTGTGTCATTTTCAAGCAATTCTCTTTTTAAATTTCTGATTAAAATGATTATTTAAAAAAACTTAGTTTTTTAGTAGTAACTAGTGAGATTGAACATGTTTCACGTGTTTGTGGATTGTTAGAGTTTTTTGCCTTTTTTTGCCTAGCCATTGTGATAGATTTTTATCTCATGTGTTGATCTTATGATTTCTTTGTATTTTGTTTAAAACTATCAAAATGCTGTTAGAGAAGGTACTCATTTATTGTAGAAAGTGCGGGTTCTATCCTAGAAGAAAATCTCACCCTTAAGCTCACTCTGAAGATAAACTTGCATTTTTGTTTTGCTTTTGGACCTCACCTAGGTGTGCTCAGTGCTTATTCCTGGTTCTTTCTGTGTTCAGGGGTTACTCTTGGCAGAGCTCATGGACCTTGTGTGCTCTTGGGGAATCAAGCCCAGGTTGGCAAGCACCCCACCTGCTATACTATTACTCTGGCCCCAAGATAATGAACTTGTAACATGTTTCTTTGCAGAGGTGTCATGTCCCACTCCCCTTTTGGGCCATACCTGGCGGTGCTCAGGGGTGGCTCTGCACCCAGGAAATCACTCCTTGCAAGTTTGTGGGGGACCACAGGAGATACTGGGAATCGAACTCTGATCCGCCATGTGCAAGGCAAACACAGTACCTGCTGCACTCCTGCCCCTTCCCTTCAGAAATTGTTTATTTGAGGCACTGTAAATTACAATGATGTTAATGATATTGTGATCTACAATACTGTTAATTACATGGCTTGTGCATACAGTGTTTCAACATCACGCCCTCCACCTTTGTGCCTTTGTGCCATCATTGTCTCCCTCGCCTCAGCAACACTCTCTCTGTCCTTTGGTAAGCTGGGTGCTTCTCTGTAGTCTGTCTTTGTATATCTCTAGTTGTTGAAAGATTGCACACTATGATCAAGGGGCATTTATTTTTAGAATGGAAATCAACGTAACACTCCATTACTAAATGGAGGGAAAAACAGCTTGATTTGACACAATATACATTTCACAGATTTTTGTGGTAAAACACTGAGAGAACTAGGAGTAGTAGGGAACTTCCTAATACAGTTAAGGGAAATTTATGAAAAACTCACAACCAGTATCAAATTGTGAAAGATCACACTGAACCCTTTCTCTTGAAGGTGACAAACAAGATGCCTGCTTTTCACCGCGGTTCTCTAACGCTGTGTTGCACATTCTAGCTAGAGCTGTCGGATAAGAAAAAAGAAGTAAGGTGACTAGATCATATGGGAAGAAGTCAGGTTGTCTTACTTGCAAATACTGTCCTAAACAGAAAATTCTAAAGAACAACAGCAACACAAATCTTTGAGCATTCCTAATAAAGCCAGTTGTAGGACACAGGTTCAGCACCAAAAATCAGTTGTTTTTCTACAGTCATGGATACTGCGCAAAGGAAATTAAGAAAAGGGATCTATTTAAAACGGTATAAAAATTAGGATTACATTTAGCCAAGGAGATGTAAGAGTTTTACACGAAAAACTACAAAACTGTTGGAAGAAATAGGAAAAGACCCTAAAGAAATGGAAAGGCATTTGTGATCATTAAACCTTGAAAGATCAAGTAGTCTGCATATAGTCAGGGTAATAGTCCCTATTAAATCTCAGTGATTTGGGGGTAGGTGGAGAAAATTTACAAAGCTGATCCTAAAATTCATACGGAATTTCTTCCCTTTTTGTGGGGTGGGGTGCTACGCCCAGCCGTGCTCAGGGCTCAGTCCTGGTGGGGGTTGGGGTACCATATGGGGTGCTGGCTTAAACCTGGTCAGCCACATGCAAGACAGGTGCCTTTCCTGCTATACTGTCACTTCGGCCCATCATGTGCAATTTCAAATAGCCCTAAAGAGTCAAACAGTTTTGGGGAGAAAGAACAAAGCGGGAGGAATCCCGGATACTAATAAGAGCTCGAATAGTACAATAATCAAGACTGTGCTGAACAATAACCGTGTAGATCAGTGGGGTATAATATAAAGTCTGGAAATAAAATCAGAGTGCTTCATTT